GGAGGGTGGCTGCAGACCTCACGCCTTCCATCGCTGGCTGAGCCCCTGCCCCCCCCATCCAGTTGCAGTAATGGCTATGGCCTCCCTTCTCCATACACTACGCATTCACGCGCACACTCACACCCCCGTTGTTCATAGTAGACCCTTTTTTTTTTTTCTTTTTTTTTTTTTGGGACAAAAAGCTCCAGACCCGTCTAAGTCCAATCAGAGGTAAAATCAAGCAGACAATCACAGTCCGTTGGCAGCCGGCGGTCATACTACAGAACCTCCTCCTGAATGCCACTTGCGTGCCTAAGGAACTGAGCTTGGCCGCTGGATCAGGTACATTCTCATATCTCATAATCTACGGTCGGAAATTGTTTTTTTTTTTTCTTTTATTATTTTCTATATTACGGCCGTAATAATTTATCAACATGTTAAGTCTGCCTGCTCGTTGGCATTTTAAATTTTAATCAATGGTGATTGGTCAAAGATTTTTTTTTTTAATTAATGTATTTTAAATTATTTTATATATTAGGGTCATTATATTTCACATGTTCGGACCCTCGTTGGAGGCTTGAGCACGGATGTGGCTGCTACGGGGTTCCCCGTAATACTATAATGACAATAAAAAAAAGGCCTGAAAGGCCGTCCTGTCCAGATTTGACAGGTAATTGAATTGGTTGGGCTTAAAGAATTAACCTTTAAAAAAAAAATTAATAATAATAATATAACGGTAAGGAATAAACCAATAATAACTTGAAAAATCTGGATGTCCAGTGACGTAACCTATAGCTGTCAGGGATGAGTAGAATTTCGGTAATCTTAGAAAACAAAAAAAAAAAAAACGATAATCCGTCTTTCGCCGGGACATCTGTCAAAATTGGAGCCACGCAACTCTACCTTTCAAAAAAGAAAGAACGATTTTTTCCTTTAAAAAAATCATTAATCTAAAAAAATATCTACGAGGCTAAGGATTCTAAACAATATATTATTTGTAATATCTGGTAGCTGAGTCATTATCTATTAGGGTAAAGGGTTCTAAGGCATCAATAGACCGTTTATTAAATATATATATATATATCGTCAAATATATATACATATCGTCAAATAGAACTGCCTACGGTAAACCGTAGGCAGAGAGGGAGAAGAGGACAACAAACGAGGGGCTGTGACAAACTGTTTCGTCGGAGTTTCACATATATATTATAATAGCCCCTCGTTTGTTGTCCTCTTCTCTCTCTGCCCACGGTTTACCGGGCAGTTCTGTTTGTGACGATATATATTATA